AGTAGAAAGACTATTAGGATATGATGGAATTCTGAACAATGTGGTGGAAATGTATATGGAGATGATGGATTAATAAATGTCAAGAGAGTGACCTTATGTGCTACCACACAAAAATGGTAACGGAGGAAGTGCATTTTTTTAATTACCTAAATTTAGCTATTCCACAATGTATGTGTACTTCACAACATAGTGTGGTACAAGATAACAACACACAGTGTTTTCTGTCAATTAAAAAAAGAGAATAAAGATAAAAAAAAAAGAAATGTGGAAGGAGGGGGAGAGAGAGGACTGGTTGGGGATATTTTAGAGGGTGGGATTAAGGATAAAAGAGAAGTATCTGAGACAAGGAATTGAGAAGAACATTGCCATTTCCCCTGGAGGAGGAATGTAGGAAAGTGTCCATCATCGGGAAAATGTCATTATAGAGTTTGGGATGCCTGGATATGTGGGGTCTTTTTGAACCCTCCACAAATTCTGAGCACTCTGTAGATGCCATGAGAATTCATACAAAAGGAGAGTCAGTTGAAAGTAGCACATGGCTTGCATAAATTAAGCTCACTAAACATATATTGGATGATGCATGCAAGCTATGCCTTAGGTTTAGTCAACATTTACTGAATGAAGATAAGGTACCCTGAGCTCTGCTAGGGTCTGCAAATACAAAGCTAAGAAGCAGTCCTGGTTCTCAAAAATCTTCTTTACATGCTGAAATAGTGACCCAAATGAAAGGCCAATGGGGCATCAAGGAAAAAGAGGTGTCTAGGGTTTGGACAGGAAAATAGGACTGGGAAGATACTCCAGGTGAGGGGAATTATAGAGGCCAAGAGACAGAGTTTGGTATAGAGTAGAGTGTGCAGGAGGGTGTGTTAGTCAGCTTTTCAATACTGTAACAAATACCTGAGATAAATTAACTTAAAAAGAAGAATGGTTTATTTTGGCTCATAGTTTTGGAGGTTTCAGTCCATGATCAGGTGGTTCCATGGCTTTGGGATCTGAGGCAACGTAGCAGATCATGATGGAAACGTAGTGGGAGCAAAGCTGCTCACTTTGTGGTGGGTGGAAGGAAGGAGAGGAAAGAGGAGGGACCAGGGTACAAATATCTCCTTCAAGGTCATTCCCTCAGTGACCTAACCTCCTCCCACTAGACCCCACCTCCTAAATGTTCCAACACCTCTCAGTATGTGTCACAGACTGAGGAACAAGTCATTAACTCTTGGGCCTTTGGGGAACACTGAAGATCCAAGCTATAACAGGGGACCAGAGTGGGCCTGTCAAGTTTGAAGGGCAAGTGCTGAGCAGGGCAGCTGTGTCTGTGTCTTTGTCTATGCAAACAGGACCTCAGGGAGTTCTGATTTTCAGAAAAACCACAGGCTGTCTGGGCCTGCCCAGTGGCTGGGATAATATGACTGAACCCTGAATAGTAAATAACGGCAAGGGATTAAGTCATAGGAGGAAAGAGAAGTTGGCACACAAATAGGGAACAAATGGCATTTCTGAATGCATGGGAGTCGAGACAAAGCTTTCTTAAGTGCTCATCCAAGCAACACCTTGGAGTTTGTGAAGAATCTGCTGAGGTTCCAAAGGGGCACTGTGGTCTCTCACATTCTGCTTTTGCAGTAGGTTGTGTTTTGCCTGTGGGTTCTTTGCTGGCATGCATCAGCAAATGCCAGCGAAATACAGGCTAACGAACTAAGTGCTGCTCCCTAGGAGCAGTGTGTAAAGCTGTTGTGAGAACTGAGAAGCCTCCCCCAGCACCAAGTAACATTCCTACGGTCCCTTGGGTGTGTCTCTTGGTAGGTCTCAGTTGGAGTGGAGAGAGTGGGAAAGTGCGTGTTATGAGGTGGCTACTGGAGGGAGGGCAGGCAGGGTGGAGAGGTGGAGAGATTTGAGAAAGGATGGTACACTTTGCCTCCATCTCTTTGGGTCAGTTTTCCAAGCTGCTCCATATGACTTTCATCTCAAACACAACAGCTACCAATTGATAAATGTAAATACCAGTATTTTGAAGGAAAACTTTTACCTCCTAAGGAGAAATGCTTAGCGGGGGGCAGTACCCAGCCTGTCCTCTAGAGGTTAGATCTGAGGCAAAAATCGATGGATCTAAGTGAGTGCATGAACCAACTTTCCAGACTTGGCTTGGAGCCTTGCCCAGACCAACTCCTATTGACTTGGCTTTCAAGATTTTTGAATTAGCTGTAGAAAGCACTTTCCTTTGCCTAGGGTGGGTGCAGACAGTCCAGCTGAGTCCAATGCCATCGTGTATTATTCATAAGTCCCGACAGCTTGGCTCTTTGAGATGATGTGTTCAGTCCACAGAAGAGCAAACCTATTCCCTGGGAGGGTGACTGTAACTGGAGCAGGATCTGGGTTTAGTCTCAGACAAAATTCAATATGCACAGGCAAGGACAGAGGTGCTCATCCCTCCAGAGGCTGGACCACAGCGTGAGGTTGCCTGAGTCACTGTGACTCTGTAAAGAGAAGTCTTTGCACCTGGGCTGTGCCTCATGCTTTATAAAGCACTTTTACAGAGATGATCTCATGTTAATTCTCACAGTGACCTTGCAAGGTAAATATTATTAACTTTCTGTGTTTTAAGAGTAAAAAGAGGCTCAGGGAGGTTAAGTGAACTTTCTAAATATCACCCTAGTAAATGCCAAAGCCATGAATCAAACTCAGTTCCCTAAACCCCATGTCACACCCAGAGAGTCATCTGTGTGTGTGCACAATGAAAGGATGTTCATCCTTTCATCCAAAAGAGTTTGTCACTATTTCTGTATGAACTTGGTGATTCTCCTACTTACAGATAGACAGCAAGTACTATGATGTAGCAAAAAGAAAGGAAAACCAATAAAGACATAGCAATGTCAGATGGGCTGTTATTCCAATTTAATAAAAAGTACTTATGCAAACTCTAATGTGACTCCAGTATGCTGGGTACTAGGGACACAGTGATGGTAGGTAGACATGTTCTGTTCACCCAATGTTCCCCATCTGGTAATGAAAACCGCATTCAGGCAGCTAACTAATCATAAGAGTATGTTGAGTACTATAACAAGTTGGGAAACTAAGGTTTAGAGGGAATAAGTAATTCAGCTAAGGCCAACCTAATACAGAAAATGGGATTAAAGGCAGGGATTGGGAGACCAGTAGTCTATCCTATTGCCTCCCAGGCTCTACTGGTTTCATACTATCTCTTCAAGGAATGAAGGAGCCTCAGATTTCTCATTATTAAAATAAGCACAATAACTATCATTTCCATTAAAGGTTACATGAGAGTAAATGAGATATTCATACTTGGCGAGTAAAATATTCCATGTTAGGTATTGCTATCTTCCCATGCAGGATGAGCTGATCCAACAGCTGCCTCTGGATATTTTAGAGACTGAGAGACTGCTCCAGTTGAAAAAAATTTTTTTTTTTTGCTAGGTATTGAACCCAGGGCCTCAGCCCATACTCTAATGACTGAGCTACACCCACAACCCAATAAATATTTTAAAAATCCATTTATATATGACACAATGTTGCTATCTTTTATCTTCTGCACCACACTAAATGTAATGCACTTGAAATGATCTTTTCAGGAACATCCTGAACTCCAAAAACCAATGCCACAAACAGCCCTGCCCCTGAATGACAGCTCTCCAGCCCGTGGCTTGGATTGGTCCCAGTTAACAGTTGCATTTAATACTATTCTTTTAATGAGAATCATTTGTGGTCCGAATTACTTGTGAGCCATTTAATATTTATTTTTATTAGGTGACTCTACTGGTTTGCAGTTCGGTTTCTCCTGGTATGGTATAGTCCTCGAGGTTAGGCATTTAAAGATGAGTTGGATGAATGCTATGCAGAAGAGCAGAAGGCCAGGCCCAGGTCCTGCCAGTCACAGGAGACCAAACCACAAATAAAGGACAGAATAGTTTTCTCATTCATTCTTTTTAGTTTATTCAAGAACTGTACACAGAGGGCCTACCATATGTGGCTATCTGCTAAGCAGAGGTAATGATAGTGGATTTCAGACAAAGGTAAGCAAACCCCACATCAGCAGGGCTAATCTGGAGAAGTAGCAAATTGCAGTAAAGTCAAGAAACAATGGTGGAGCCAAACCAGTGGGTATAAGGCCCATCACTGCCAAGTACTATGGGACCTTGGGACAATCACTTACTCACATGATGTTTCAATTTCCTCATCTGGAATTCACAGTTGTTGCAAAAATTATATGAGATAATATGTACTCAGAATAATGTCTGGCACACAATAGGAGCTGTATGAGTATTATCCTTCCAGTAGTGAGAAAGGAAGGAAGTAAAGTAATCGGAAGTTGTGATATCGGCAATAAAGAAAAAGGGTGTGAGGTAGGGGATAACAGAAGTGGAGAGGTAGGCAGAGGAAGAAGGTCTCTTCTAGCCAGAGGGGCCAAGCAATGGCTGTCTGACCAGTTGGCAACACCACTGAGACATGCTGGGTGAAAGGGTCGGGGAAGGGAACAGTCTAGGCAGAAGGAAGATGCTATCTGAAGCCCCCAGGTATGAAAGAAGCATGGCCTCCTGGAGAAGATTGAAGAAGAGATAGGCAGGGGTATTTTCTTGTAGGCCACAGCAATAAGTTTAGATTATATGATAAATGCAGTGGGTTGAGCCATTTTATTCAAGGTAGGGCTGTGATCCAATTAACATTTTATGAAGCTCATTCTGGGGAACAGATTGTTGGAGGGGAAGAGTGGGAGTTGTCATAGATAAGCGGAGAGGCAGTGGTGTTCTGGCCCATGTCAAGGCAGTGAGCTGGAGTCAAACTGCTGAAATTTGGATCTGGAGTGTCTCCCAAAGGCCCATGTGTTCGAAGTTTTGGTATCCAGCTGTGTTTGTCAGCTTTGTTGCTGTGACAAATACCTGGAAAAAACCAACTTAGAGGAGAAAAGATTTATTTTGGCTCATTGTTTTCAGTTTCAGTCCATGGTCGACCAACTCAAAGCAGAAACATCATGATGGAAGGGCATGGCAGAGCAAAGCTTTTCGCCTCATGGCAGCCATGAAGCAGGGAGAGGGTGGGAAGAAGTCAGGGAAGAGAAAAACCCTTTAGGGCATGTCCCAGTGACCTACTTTCTCCAACTGAAATCCCACTCCTAAAGGTTCCACCACCTCTCACTGTCAATGAATCATGAATCCATCAATGGTTAATCCCGAGGATGAGGTCAAAGTCTGATAATCCACTCACTTCCTTAAAATCCCTACCTCTGAACATGGCTATGTTCAATACAGAAGCCTTCAGGAGACATTTCATATCCAAACCATAAAACCAGCTCATAGTGCTATTGGAAGATGGTAGAACTTTTAGGAGGTGGGGCCTCAGTGGAGCAAGTTAGTTCATAGGGATTGTGCCTTTGAAGGGCCCTCTGTCTTCTTCCTGGCCACCATGAGGTGAGTAGCTTTCTCTGCCATATGCTCCAGCCATGATGTATGGTGCTGCCGCAGGCCCAAAGCACAGGGCCAACCAACCTGGACTGAAACCTCTAAGACTGTGAGCTCAAATAAATCTTTCCTCTTTATAAGTTGTATATCTCAGGTGTTCTGTCACAGGGATACAAGGCATTCTGATGAGAGATCTGTCCTCCTGGACATAGAATTGATGTATCTTGCTGAGGGATTGGACCTATAGTTTTTGACAAGGCATAAGGTAGGCATGGACGTGGCCCCCAGTAAGCACTGCAGGAGAAAGGTGGGGCACCAGCTATACCAGGTGCAAGAAGAGATGGAGCTATTGAATCAGCCTCCCCTCTTATGGCTCTGATAATAAGCACAAGTGAGCTGGACACAGTCCAGTGGGCCCCAGGGCTAGCTGCGCTCTGTTCCCCCAAACCTCCAGGCTCCTTCAGACCCAGTGACTGATTTGGCTCCATGAGACACCAAGCATTAGAAACCAACAAAGATTTGTTTCCATTTTCTCCAGGAGACAAGACCACAGCTAAATGGGCCCAACAGGAGACAAAACAGTCTTACCTACCCACAAAAAGACCAAGGACTTGTGGGGAGGGAGGAATCAGGAAATACTAGAACCAGTCCCTGTTCCTCTCTACCCTGTTTCCTCCTCAGGTAGATTTCAGGGACCTGTGCTTTTTCTGAAAAGAGGATTCTTAAGAGAATCCCATTCACCCCTCCTTTGGTAATTTATGAGTTCAAAGGACTTCTCTATTGACCAAACATTCTTAAAATAATTAAACACTAAAGTAAACATAAAGGTTGCTCAAATCCACGACGCCAATGAAGCTGACCTGAAAGTCTCACTGTGTTGCTCCCCCAGAGTCCTGAATTACAAATCTCGGTAGAAGGTGAAAGACAGTGGGGTTAGGATTTACAGATTGTTATCCAATACCTCTCAGCAAGATGAATTCGGCACAATAAAACATGTATAGGGCTTTTTATTCCTGTGCTAGAGATGATCTTGGAGAAGGAGTGAAATTCCTCCTTGGTTTCCATCTGTGCAGTCAGCTCCCATATTGCAGAAGCACAGGGGTGGTTCAATTTACCTCAAGCAGAATAAAAGGCCCCCATCCAAAATTTGGCTCATTCTAACTTTTTAAAAGCCCTTCCCCAGAGAAAAACCAAAATCCTCTTGATCTCTTGGAAATTTGGAGCTACCTATTTACTTGGATTCTGCAGATTGTATGGGATTTTTTTTGAGAGAGAGGATTTTTAATATTTATTTTTCAGTTCTCAGCGGACACAACATCTTTGTTGGTATGTGGTGCTGAAGATCGAACCCCGGTTGCAGGCATACCAGGCGAGCGCACTACCGCTTGAGCCACATCCCCAGCCCCCATTGTATGGGTCTTTTTTTTTTTCTTTTCTTTTCTTTTCTTTTTTTTTTTTTTAACCACTTTCCCTAAATCCAAAGAAGATTCCTCTGGCAGCAGTTGTTTTTCAATAAGGGAGCAGCAGGGTGACAGATCCTAATAGCTTTTTATTTTTTGTGGTACTGGGGATTGAACCCAGGACCTCACACATGTTAGGCAAAAGCACTAGGTGCCTGCTGGCCTTGCCTCAGCTCTGGAAGGCTGTGCATCTGTAAGATCATTACCTGGGTGGAATCCCTGGGCGACGGTCAACAAATTCACGTAGTCGTATGGCAGTCATGATGGATAGGAATCTGAAAAAAAAATATATAGAATGAAATTTAATATTGTCAGTTTTACACATTTCCAGGTATAAGCTATTACTAGTGTTTGGATCTGGAATGTTCCCCAAAGACCAATATGTTGAAGGTTTGCCAGCCTTTGGTGCTATTGGGAGGTAATAGAACCTTTAGGACGTAGGTCCTAATGGCAAGAAGTTAGGTCATTGGGTGCCTGCCCTTGTAGGTGTTATTGGAAACATGGCCCCTTCCTCTTTCTCTCTCTGTTTCCTGGCTGCAGTGAGCTAGACAGGCCTCCACTATGCACTCCTGCCATGATGAACTATGCCACTACAGGCCCAAAGCAACAGAGTCAAGTGGCCATGGACTGAAGCCTCTCAAACTATGAGCCAAAATAAACCTTATCCCTTATTAATTGATTATCTCAGGTATTTTGTTATAGTGTTGGAAAGCTGACTAACACAGCTATCTAACACCATAAAGTGCATCTGGAAAGAAAAATTGTAATAACATTGACATAGTAGAAGGTCTATCCATATCCTCTTTTAGGGAAGAAAACAAAAGAAGACTAGTAAAGAAGCAAAAAAGAAGTGGAAAGTATAAGTGAATAAGTACAGGTATGCTTTTCTTTAAAAACAAAAAAACCTGTTCTCGAATGTTAATTGGGCACAGTCTCCTTTCTCACTTCTTAGTGGGCCTTCCTGCTGCACAAGCTTACAAATAAGCACTACCTTTCTGAGAGTCTCTACAACTAAAATTCTGAATGTGAATTTTTGTCCTTCAATCAGATGTGTTTGCGTGGACTTGGGAAAAGAAAATGAGGCAGAGAAAATATCTTGCTGCTTTGACCCATTGGCAAGAAAGGCAATAGTGGTTGGCATTGTAGCTCAGTGGTAAAGTGCTTTCCTAAGCACATGTGAGGCACTGGTTTTGATCCTCAGCACCACATAAAAATAAATAAAATAAAGGTATTTTGTCCATCTACAACTAAAAATAAGTTAAAAAATAAAGGCTATAAAGATATGATGGTTTTCTGCAGCAGAAATCCAGTGTCTAATCTCTAGCTTTGGGGATGTCCAGATACAGTTGCTACAAAGACAGTGACTGAACCGCATTCCACTGTTCAAACACCAGATTCATGGGTGTGCAGAGGGAGCTGTAGTGGTATGGTAGTGGCATTGGGAGTGGATTCTTGAACTTGATTGTTCTATAAGCAGCTTCCTGATTTTTGTGGAATTGTTCTAGAAGATTCTTGGAGGCCCTACCCATCCTTTCCAATGATTTTGCAAACTCTTCATTCTCTATTTTAAGCTCCATTCTATTTCCCATACTGATCTCAGACTTAAACATGTATTGTTTCTTGTCTAACATTTCATATTATGTCTGATTATTTACCAGAGAATAGCTTACCACGAGCACACAATTATAATTAAATATTCACACACACACACACACACACACACACACACACACAAATCCATAATAGGAAGGGAAACTGGGGAGGAGGACAAAGATATGAGAAAGCCATGCTCTTTATAGAGTATCTTCTGTGCCTTATTTTGCGCTCTATGTATATGTTACATTTTCTATATATGAAGACAGCTGGGCTCTGATTTACATAAATATGGCAACCAGCACAGCAGAAGAACATTGGACTGAGACTCTTGTGGCAGGTCATTTCCTGGCTATGCATATTGATTACAGAACCTCTCCAAGGATTAAATGAGGCAATAATGTGTGTGAGTGTTCTGTAATCTTAAAAGCACCTTTAAGAAAGGAAAATATGAGTTTCTATTTAGAGTGTACATTATGTGTTGAATAGCATGCATTAGCTCCCATTAGCCTCCCAGCAACCTTGCAAAGCAGTGAAACTATTTTACTCACGAGAAAACAGGTACTAAGAAGTAAAGTAGCCTGTACCAATTTACAGGGAAACCAGGATTAGAATCTTTTGGCTCCAGAAACATTAATCTTAACAACTGTGTTATATTTAAACAATCCAGAGCACTGAGACCATCAGCCAAAATAAAAGTAGGACTGTTCAAAAGAAGCTAAGAGAAAAGAAACCAGGAGGAAGGACTAGGGAAAAAAAAAGTGTGTGATGTCTCCCTCTCCTGCTTTTTATAGTCAAAACTTAACTCACTGCCTACCAGCCAGCTAGCTGATTTATTTCACCTCTGAGGATCATTTTCAAGGCAACTTGGAAATTTACAATGACATTACATTCTAACAGAATAGTTGGCTATCCATAGAAGCCTCTTCATTGTATAATGTATTTTTAACCTTTAGCACTGCTGTGATTAGTTTTTTTTAAAAAAAAAAAAAGAAGGAAGAGAGAACAAAAGAAAGTTTGGTTATGCACAATTGAGTTCTTGTGTAATTTGGTACAAATAGAATGCTTTGTGAGGTTTTACTTCATTAGAAGTGATATGCTAGAGAAAATCTAAGATATCTAGGACATCTGTGCTCCAAAGACAGCACTGACATTGCCCTTGATGATACAGGGATTGCTCAGGGCCTAGAAATTCTGAATCAGCACTGTAGGTTGCCATGCTTTGGCCATGCCATGCAGTCAGTTTTGGAGGAACCCATTGACAATTGTTTCTGAGTCTCAGATGAAATTCTCAGAATAATCAGAGACCCTTGTCTGATTGTAGTTATAGATCTGACATTGTTGAGAGACACAGCCGAAGCGCCCAAGCAAACTTCCAGCTGATTGCTCACAGTGGCCCTAGCAAACTTCCAGCTGATTGGCTCACCGCAGCCCCAGCAACCAGCTGATTGGCTCCTCTACGGTGATGCTCATAGGGCTGTTTCCCGGCCCTTTCAGATCTCAGAGCTGCTCATTGGGGGACTCTTTTGGCTCCACCTATGTGACCCAGCCAATCGGCCTCAAGAGCAGGAAGAGATTGGAGGAGGTACTCGCAGGGAGTGCCTGAGTTGGCAGTTGGGCTCTGAGGGAATTCCTGAAGAACTCATGTGGTGGGCGTGTGTGTTCTAAAAATAAAGTTCGTTCCTGCTTGATAAGTGGCTCCTGAATTGTGCCCAGCCAGACTGTGGCATGACATTCTGCATCTCTTAAACACATAAGAAAATGTAGATGGTAATAAGAGGTATCAATACATTTTGTTTTAGTCAATCTTAAAAAAATATAGCCACCAAATCTGAATGTGATTTCTCAAGCATGAACTTGTAGTTAATTTATCAGTGCCATATCCACAGCCTGTTCCACAGCTGTACTCAGAACCGAGAAAAATGTAACTCTCCTGTCCTTTGTTACTGGCAGCAAAGCCAGAGACTGTGCCTGGATCCTGGTTGGCCAGATGCAGCTGCCAGCCCACAAATGAAATAATTAATAATGTAAAAAGAAAATATGTATTTAATGCAGTTTAAGCAAACTGGGGAGAAGTAGCTATTGTCTCTCTGCCAATCTTGTAGAAGCCATTGCAATTTTGAGTAATAAAAGCCAGGAGATGTGCATGTGTGGATTTACTCAGGCTGTGCTTAGCCAGAGCACATGTCAGTTTTGACCTCCTTGGCACCTTTTAGGGCCAGGATTTAGTTTTTAAACTTTCTAGCCTCATCATGAGGAAGTTTGGGAACTCTCTGTTTCACCTGCAAATCTTTACAGCTTTTACTTAGTCACCTTCAAAGATTTTGTGGGGCTGGGAATGTAGCTCAGTAGTAGAGCTGTTGCCTAGCATGTGCAGGGTCCTGTGTTTGATCTCCAGTGCTGCCAAGAAAACTGTTTTGTTTTTTTTCTTAGATGTGCCTCATGTAAAATTCTTCCAGAGCACATGCAAGTTCAAGCTTAACCTTCCATCCCTTACCTTTTATTTGATTTCAAATTAACCCTAAGAAACTGCTGTGGTTTGGATGTAGAATGTTCCCTGAGACCCATGTGTTAGAGACTTGGTCCACAGCTTGGTGGTCCTGGGAGAGGGTAGAGCCTTCAGAGGTGGGGCTTATGGGAGGACTTCAAGTTATTGGGAGCATGTCCCTGAAGGGGATATTTGGGCCCTGAACCCTTCTTCTTCTCTCTTGTTCTTTCTCAGCCAAAGAGTCAAACAATTTTGCTCTGCCATGTGTTCCCACCACAGGCCCAAAGCAGAGCCAGTCATGTACTGGAACCTCCACAAATGTGAGCCAAACTAGATCTTCTCTGTTTATAAGTTGATTATCTCAGGTATTTTTTTATAGTAGTGGAAAGCTGACTAATAGAAACCTTAAAACATTTTTCTTTTTTAAGACATAATAAATTACAAAACATAATATGTCCTGAGAACATAATGTTACTAAAGAACAGTAAAACAATCCATAATTCTACCCAATAATGGCTACTCTCATGCTTTTTATATTCTGTATGTGCATATATATATATACATATCTATATAGTTGAAACCACAGCAGATTTTCTACTTTATATTGTTTTTAATTTAACAATATATAATGAAAAATTTTCCCACATTGCTACAGCATGTTCTTAATTCTAAAATTTAATGTTCTTTTATGCTGTTTGGTGAGTTCATATATCACCTTATTACTTATTATTTATTTGGTGCTAGTTATGGAACCCAGGGCCTCATACATGCTAAGTACCTGCTCAACCACTGACCTATACCCCACCCTCATGATCTTATTTAAAATGAGACCTATCTCTACCCTTACCCCTGGGATTCCTTATTCCTGCTATATGCTTTATTTTTCTCCAAAGCACTTGGGATTTTCTGCCATACTGAATATTTACTTATGTATGTTGTTTTTATTGTCCTGCTACCTTGTTAGAAAGTGAAGTGCAAGGGGGCAAGAAGATGTCATTCCCAGTGCACAGAAATTAAAATTTAATTTTAGAACCTTTTATTTATGCTAGTGTTCAGAAGATGAACTAGGGTCAATAAATTTAAAAATGTACAATGCAACACACTTTCTTAAAGTTTAATGTTTCACATGGTCACTGTGGGAACCAACATATAAGATGTATTTTGTCAACTTTCTCAGCAACTTTTTGGTATTGTATGACATATTATTGATTAAGTAAGATTTCTACAATATAAATAACAGTAAAAAATACTAAAAATCTGCCCATTCACAGCAAAATCTGAGAACAAACTATGAGGAAACTTTCTTAACTTAATAAAGAACATTATAGAAACCTACAGTTAACCTCATACTTAATGGTGAAAGACTGGAATAGTTTCTTTCAAAAAGTGGGAAAAAATAAGAATGTTTACTCTCATCACTCCTATTTAACAAAATGCTGGAATTTCTAGCCATTTAAATAAGGAAAGAAAAGAAAAGAATATAGATGGAAAAGGAAGAAAACTATTTATATTTGCAAATAATGTTGTTGTCTATGCAGAAAATCTCAAGAAACCTAGAGTTAACTCCTGTAATATAGTAAAAATCATTTTTATACTGCACTATGAATAAAAAAAATTACACCCCAAATTTAAAACATAATAGTTTATAATCACTAAAATTGGAATATTGTGTAAAAATGTACAAGGCATGTACAGGATCTGTATGCTGAAAACCACAAAAAGTTAGTGAATTAAATCAAAGAAGACTTGGGGCTGGGGCTATGGCTCAGTGGTATCGCACTTTCCTGGCGTGCGTGAGTCACTGGGTTTGATTCTCAGCACCACATATAAACAAACAAATAAATAAGTTAATGTCAATCAACGACTTATTTTAAAAAAATCAAAGAAGACCTGAGTGATATACTATGTTCATGAATTGGAAGACCAAACAGGGCAAAGAAAACAATTCTCTCAAATTATCAGGTTTATTTTATCAATGTACCAGCAGGATTTAATTTTGCAGACACAGACAAGCTTATCTTATTTATTTGGAAATGCAGGAGAAATAATATAACTAATGCAATTTTGAGAAAGAACAACCACCTTCTAGTAGAAAGGGAGGGGAAAGCACCACCTAACAGACTTTTCACATATGTGATTTCACTCAGTCTTTGCAAAAGTCCTGCAAGTTATTATTCTTAATTTGTGAGAAATGTTAAATTACATGCTTAAAGTCACAACCAGTCCTGTCTGACTATAAAACCTAAGTTGCTTCCACTGCTGTACAACTGACTCATTGATTCAACAAATATTTATTAATAATTTACCTTTTCCTGATAGTGCTACACATTGGCGAGGGTGAGGGGGATTTTTAGCAAGACAAACATGGTTCTGCTGTTATATTGCTTACAGTCTAGTGGAGATGAAGTCACACATTCATCATAGAGTCACATTGGTAAACAAAAAATTAAAGCATATTGTTCTGGCAACTACTCTCTTTGTTCTCCTTATCCTTCTCCTATCTCATTGTCTTGCAAAGTGTTCTCCATCTGAGTAGTGCTTGACACATACTTTGGAATGAATGAATAAATGAAAGAACCAATTAATAAGTCAACTCAGTTACCTGGTCATCTGTTGGTTTTTAAAACTTTTCTTGCATCATAGAGAGCAAGATACTCCATTTCTTTAAAAATAAATCAATACGTCAAGCTTAAACTGTTAAAATGACTCTAAGTTGAGAGGGATAAATATTCATTTTCTAAAATAATTTCTAGGCTTTATATAAAAGTTTGCCATAAAGTTTTTTTTTTTTTTAAGTTGTGAGTGCCTGTCTCTAGAACCTTCAAAATGCTATCAGCTATTTAGTAAGGCAACCACCATGTCAGACGAGAGAGAGGCATAGACAGTAGCAACCATGTCATTGTTACCTGCTTGGGCTGCAGTGGGTAGGGACCTCCTTGTTTTTAATAGCAGTCTTCTGGGGGTAGCAGTTATTTCAGTGCCTCCTCGTATTGGAAAGACTGCAAAGGCATACTGCAGAGTTGTAGGACTTGATCCCTTTACATCATTCAAAGAGTATTGTGATGCACTGTGGGTTAGAAAGTTTTGCTAGGCAATGCCTTTCAGAGCTCACTCAGGCTTATAAAAAGTAGAGATTTTTGGTCTCTATGGGGAGCCTAGCTGCACATTGAAAGAAAGGGCAAACATTATGTAAAGGGAGAAGTCATACAGGCAAATAACCCTAGACTCTTTAATCTCTAAAGCTTTCTATTCTATAAAGATTGTTCCAAGGACCTCACAAGGTCAAGGATCTGGGCAGTGCTGTACTGGTGATTCTGCCTTCCACAAGCGAGAATTGAGGGAGTAGGATTGGCACAAGGACAAAGGAGTCCAGCTCTGCCTGGTCTAAGGCTAGATTAGGCTCCATACTGCTGCTATTAAAGGCATAAAAGGAAGCTTTAATCGTTTAAAAATATAATTTTAACCAATCCATGAAGCATTACAATAGCATTACTATGTAGATCAGCAAATCACAACCTGAGAACAGAAGGGCAAAAGTATTCATTTAGACCAACCTGTATCAAAAACAAAAGCCAAGCAAAAAACCCCTGGAATTCTCTATAATAGGCTGACCTGGAGATATGGGCACCTTTCAATTGAATACAGTTGGCAAGTAAGAAGTTAAATATTTCCATCAGATCCAGATGGCACTTAGGACAGACCAGATCGAGGCTGGGCTCCCACTGGAAGCTTAACCTAGATGAACAGACCCAGAATAATTTAATACCAGAGTCCCAGTGACACGGCATTTTGTTGAGACAGATAAGCTAGGGAACATTTAAATCTAAGAACAGAAGCAACATACTGGTCCACACAAACAGAAATGATAAATTGGTTCTCTTTTTTGAGTAAGCACCCTCAGTGTGCCAGGCACTGTTTCTGCTGTTTGACTCCTACAGTCTCAGGCCCTATGATGACCTTGGGAGGTAAGTATCTCCATTTGGAATAAAGGTCAAGAGAAGCTAAGGACCTTGCCTAACATCATACAACCAGACAGTAATGAACCTAGGCTTTTAATCCAGTTCTGTTTAACACTGAAGCCCAGGATGAATAACATCTCATTAAAATGTTAATTTTTCATTTTAAGAATAATAATTCACATTTTTTAAATAAAGGAAACAAACAAACAAATCCCCCTCTGCTTTGTGAGAAAACACCTGGCAATACAAAAGAAAAATAGATAGAAGAAAAGTTTTAAAATGAACACAAATTTCACTAGTCAGAAATTATCATCGTCAAGAATTAGTGAACCTCAATTCAGGGTCCTGCTAGAAATATAAAAAAATTGACTTTAAGAGTGAGATAGCAAGCTGGTGTGGCTTGTCTGCAATCCCATGACTCGGGAGGCTGTGGCAGGAGGATCACAAGTTCAAACCCAATCCCAGCAACTTAATGAGGCCCTAAGCAACTCAGTGAGACCCTGTCTTTAATAAAATATAAAAAAGGGATAGGTATGTAGCTCAGTGGTAGAGCATGTGCCTCAAGTAAACAGGGTCCTGTTCAATTCTCAGTATCTCAAAAAAACAAAACAATAACAACAAAAGAGTGAGATGATTTTAAAGACAGAAGTGATTTTAGAAAACTGAGATCATACTATACATGTTATATACCCACATGTGTATATAACATAAGGAGATGTTAAATGATTTAAAGTGTTAAATAAAAATCATGACTTACCTACAGAGTATAAAAGATTGTGTGAAATGGTCATCAGAAGTTCCTTGGAACAAGGGGGAGGGGGTGCTGCTTTTGCATGAAGATACTAATTGAGACAAATTTCTTCAAACTTGTGACAAGCTCAATGACAACCATCTCTAATACATAGTTCTCCATTCTCTTGAGCTTTAAAATATCCTCCAAACCTCTTCCTGGATGTTGTAAATGGCAAGCTAATGCTTCTTTAGAAGAATGTTAATGGAATAGTCCTGTAAAATGTGATCATGAGGCTCTCAGACTATCTTTCTACCATATCATCTGTCATTTCACACTCTCAAAAGGCAAAATATGGCCAGGTCATCCTGACCAGCATCCAGGAAAGTAGCCAGGGCTTTTTTTCCTATTCAGAATTTTCAAGTTTGGAAGCATGATCCTTAAGGTACTCTTCCCCAGGATCCACTGACAATCTCTGTTTAGGGATCAGTTTCTCTCCACTGAAATGTCATAGTTCTTCCCTGGTGACATCAGAGAGCTCAGAGACATTCCTTATCTGCACATTCCTTATCTAAATATTTTTTGAAAAATAATGCATGTTCTCATGATTCAGATAATAAAGAAAACATAACTAGGAACATTAAAGTTAATATGAAAATTTTCAATCTGAAAACACTTATAAATATAGTCTGATAGCCTGATGATAACGTTTCAAAACAGATGAGCCCTCTAGCCATAAAGTGCAGGGATCCCTGTAGTGGAGAAGGTGGTGCTCTGCCATGATCCTACTCTTTTTTAAAATCTTTTAAATTTTTATGGTAGTGCTAGTTTTATTGACTAGATGGGAAAGAGGATACAGCCAAAACAAAATACTAAAAAGAGTATCAGGGCTTAACTGGATGAAAGAATATAGGGTATACAGCCAGCAGATGAAACCCATGGCCAGATGATATACTGAAATTTATGAGCCATTAAAGAGTAAAGCCCATAACCGAAATAGAGGAAATATTTTAAAAAATTATTTCTATAAATCATGTTATTTCATTTAATTTATCCCAAATGCACCTTAAGTCTAAATAAGGACTAATGTGTCTATAGGGAATATTTTAAAAATGTGGGGTTTTGTTTTTGTTTTTTTAATTGCAACCTATTTTTTTTTTTTAAATTGCAACCCTAGGGAAAGGAAAACCACCTGGTAGAAACTACTCTGAGGGGCTGGGGATGTGGCTCAAGCGGTAGCGCGCTCCTCTGGCGTGCGAGCGGCCCGGGTTCGATCCTCAGCACCACATACAAAGGAAGATGTTGTGTCCGTGTAGAACTAAGAAAAAATAAATAAATTTTAAAATTCTCTCTCTCTCTCTGTCCCACTCTCTCTTAAAAAAAAAAAAAAAAAAAAAACTCTTAAAAAAAAAAAAAAAGAAACTACTCTGAATTGTTGGAAAATTTTTCCCAAAATAATCGGTAGCTTCTAGATTCAATCTCATCTCGGTGACAGGAACAACAACAACAAAAAGAAACTACAACCTCCTTTGAAGCATTCTTCGATAGCAAATGAAACTTATTAGCAACTGAAACTGTGCTTGGAAAGAAATATTTACTAAGCCAAAAGCATTTCAGTATTAATTTTTAAAAACCGAAATATATATTTCTGGGCCATGATCCTACTCTTCAGGTCTGAGCTATTTCCACATCTGCTTAGTATATGTTGCTTTTAATAACTCACTGTTTCTCTTGGCCAAAGAACACTGGGTCCACGGTTTATGCTCCCACCTGTAGGTAGTCCACATCCAATGACTTGTCAATATGAAGACACCCAGATCCAGTCCCCTTGCCTGGGTTCAGATCAACTGTGAAAGGTAATCTTAGCTTCAAAGCTCCCTGTGTAATCACCTGACTGAGGAAGACCTTCACTGCATCTCAGTTCAATTTCTCCCTCTACTCAATTTTACTCATTTCCTTTCATTATGGAGATAGTTCCTAAAAACCACCTCTGTTTCTCAGTGAAACTGATTTGAATGACTTTAAAATGAGTTTTAAAATTCCATTCCTCAACGGCAGGCTACCAGGAAGGTCTTCAACACTAGTGAGAGGTAGAATAAGAGCAATTGTGGTTTTATTTTTGTTCATTTGCTTTGCGGTGCTAGGGATCAAACTCAGGACCACACATGCATGCTAGGCAAGTGCTCTACCAGTGGGCTACACTCCCAGTCCTGGAGCAACTGGAAAAGCCTTCTTCTATGTTACAAAAGGACAGAACAGCAGTAGAAGAGAACTGGCAGGAATAGTTGTTCAGGTATTTGAGAGGTTGGAGAAGTAATGAGAGCAATGAACTTGGATGGCTCTCAATAAATCCAAATGAACCTTTGCAGTGAGATAGAGAACATAATCATTAATTCAGGCAAAGTGTGAAAGAAGAGGACCTCCTTTGCAGCATATAGAGAGACTTGTGTTGCCTGGAGGGCAGAAAAAGATGAGGATCATACTTAAATTAATGGTAGTGGAGCCCTGGCAAAGGACTCTGCAGATCTGCCAAGTCAATGTCAAGGCCATGGTTGGGAAAAAAAAAAAAAGCAGTAACCTAAGATTTGGAATGAGGAAAGAGGAGTCAATGCCCCTGAGAGTCTGAAAGCTCAGATTCCCCCCTATTCTCTAGGCCTGCAGATTTGGTCCACTTCCTCTGTGTTTAGGGTTGTTACTCCTTCCTTGTTCAATGGCTTGACAGGGATATCTAGTCCCCTTTGAAACTGGGTTTTCTGCTGTTAAATCGAAATCGTTGTGAGCAGGTTCCATTCATGTTAGAGAACTTTCAGCTCCACGGCAGGCCACACCTTCTACTGTTACTGATGAGTAGCAGCTCTGCCAGGGATTCCTTTCTAGATTCTTGTCTCATGAACTGGAAAGATGAATTCCGTGGACAATGGAGAGTGAGTGGGAAAGAGAATGATTTATTCAGGCTAGAAGAAATGAAACAGGGCTCTTACCATGTGAGGGGGTCCTGATCGTGGGAAGTGCATTAGTCTAGGGGGTCTTGTGGCTGCTGGGTAGGGGCATTGCTCAATAATTATGCTAATCAGCTTTTGGGAAACCGTGAAGGCTGTTGGTTAGGTCTCTGACATTCTGATTGGTTGTGCCCTTTTGGTCCTTGAGTTTGAAATTTTCTGTAACCTTCATTCAGGTCCATCTGGCTTTCCCTTTCCTCCCTTTCTAGGACAAAGGAGTAGACTGGATGTTTAGAATGTTTCTAAAGGGCAATCTATTTCTATGGAGCAGACTGTGCTTTCCACATTACTTAGAGAAGCCTTTTATTCGTGGGGGATCCATTGCCTTAACTGACTGACTTAGATCTATTATTCCACC